AATTACACTTTATCAGTTTCTGATTAGAGATTTTAACCATCAAATTCAATAACTTGTACACTATCACGAAACTCCGCCACATTCTGCACCAACGCCATCGAGAGATTCTGCCACGCGACCGTGATTCGGTGCCTGAGTTCAGCGAGGTCGTTGATTTCTCCGCCACTGTAGACCACCCTGTTGAGCTCCGCCCGAACCGGGTAATTGAGGGGGTTTAGGTCAGGTGACACACTTGGATATTCCGTCTTCTTCAGGTTCTCAACGCCCTTCGATTCCAAGTAGGCGAGAGTTTTCCAACGCCCTTCGATTCCACGTGCTGGCACCCAATCCTGTAGCAGTACGAAGTTTCCAAGATGGTACGGGCGACGACATGAAGGCAGGATATTCTCCTCGAGTTGGTCGATGTAACCGTCAGCGCTCACCTTCAGTCCGGGGTCCACGAAGAAAATATCGGTCTTTCCATTCCAGGTACTTCCGGTCCATACCATCAACCCGCGCCTTGGCGACTGCGGTGAAGATGATATCCTGGACCGTAGCGACGTTGTCGGAGCTGCTCGATGTTGGAGGTCTTCCAGATCAAGAGCGCCTGGTGATGATGACATCATCGTAAGCTCAACCAAAAGATGGGCAATGAAAGTGCGACAACTTGCACTAGGCGAACCGTACAACTTAGTAGCCGGATTTCTCTCGTTCATGATTATCAAAAAACAGCATTATAGCCACGATAGCAAGCTGGATGAGTCTCATGGTATCATCATCATTATTGCATCGACAAGTTCTTCAGGTATAGATGAGAGCCAAAAAACTGCACGATCGAGTAGATAAGCGAGTAACTGAACATATCTCGTCTCGCAGCTGTCTTTTCTCTTTACTCTGATAGATTATTAACCTGAGCGCTATCCCATAAGGTAGACTATTCGTTGAGGAGCATTCAAGGCATCTAAAGACACGACAAAATATTCATTGACTGTAAGGGAAAGTGGGGGAATATGTGAAAAATCGATTAAGAGCGATGGAGATGATTGTTTCTGCCTATGCCTAGGTGAGCAGCGAAATGAGGAACGAAAGAGGACCAAACCTCACTGGAATGGCCACCTAACCAGTAGAAGCCGTTCCAGAGCAATTCAGTTCATATATCCATTCTTCCTCTAATCAAGGATTAGGCATATTGGAGACAGCATCTTCTCTCCAGCACTATCCATAGGTGACCCTGTGGTTGTCTGCGCTATAAGCCTAATTAGAAGGTAACAGACATAGGTAGGAGAACTACTACAAAACAACAATGGCTCTTTCATGGGCTATCTAAGCCTCTCTGGAAAAGGGATCTGAGCGGCATAGCGGTCTTTTCTGATCCCCCACCCACCACTACCACCTACACCTGTACTGCCAGCCCGGAGCAAGGTGGCTACGTCCTTCATATGAACGTGGCGTGGCGATGGCTGCGCTTTGGGGCGGGGAGGGGGGGGGGAGGGAGGGGGCGAGGCATTGCCATTTTGAGACAATCGTAATCGTGATTTTGCTCGATATAAGACAGCATGACAGTTGTTTCGCATGGAAATCTCCCACAAAAATCGTTCTTCGCCATGTTCGAATGAAGTGTGCAGCCACACCCCCTCATCGGTATATGGAGCCTACGTTAGCCCCAGTGATGTTTAAACATAAAGGAATAAAGTCTTTGATCAATGCCTTTTTAGGATGCGGCAGGTCTTCTACTCTTCCATTCAGAATCGTAGTGGTTCACTGAATGCTAAATGGCCTTGCGGGGGCCAACCGATGCACAAGTCAGTGTTCTTATCCTCCCAGACAAACCAATTAACCTTCCTCGGGGTAGAGGGCTTGGTTGGCCTGGGCGGGAGCTGATCCAGACTTTCCCCGGACCGTGCGCGGGGTAAGAGTGCCGCTTGCCACTACACCACCTCCGCCTCCAATGTATTCAGTCCAACGATATTGGGATCAGACTACAAAAGATTCAATGCTCTCCCATCCTCGTTCGCCCCAAGTGAGCATGATCTGGAAGCAAAGCAAGAAAGAACAACAATAATTTACTTTTTCCACACATCAAGTACTGGTTGTTGCAAGAACAAATAGGTAGGGACGAATTGAAGGTAGCAAAACGTCAACTAAAGCTATGAAACATTTTACGTTTTATTCACCTCCCAACTGGTGAAGAAAACATACCCGAAGGTAAAAAGAAATCCCCAAACTCGTAAACAACTAACATAAGGAGTTCAACTAAATTCAAATAGTCTGCAAAAACGCGTAAAGTGGGCAAGGTGTTCTATCCGACGCATTTTTGCAGAGATCTCGAGTACTGTGTTGTTTTACGAAGTCTGCAGTTGGATCGATAGTCGCGGTTGTGGTCGGACAACCAGCGGGTCGATTGCAGCATCGATCACCCTCCATAGCTAATACGATTATACGCGTTATTGAGTCTGTTGTACACTTACTTCCCATCTTCCTCGACATTCTCGAACCGCTCTTGACAGCTCTCAATTTTGTTTATTCTTGGTTTTGTCGTTGTTTATTTTGGAAGTCACTTCAATCATGAGCATTAGTCATATCTTGTCACTTGAATAAAATTGTCTTTTCACAGTAGAATGACTT